ATGCAAACTAAGACTTCTAAAAAGCCTTCCCAACAGCAAACAAATATGCTGAAAGTTATAAATATTATGATTATTGTTCTTTTTTTAATTAATATAACCTGAACGAAACTGATAACGAACAAACAGTTATAAAATTGTGTTACATGGCGATTATTGTTATTTTTTTTCACAGGGTGATTATTGTTGTTTGTTTTCACAGGGTGATTATTGTTATTTGTTTTCACAGGGTGATTATTGTTTATTTTTTTTCATCTACAGGTGATGAGAAGTCATTTTTGTCAGAAACTCTTGCACACAGTTTGTTAAAATATGATAAACCGAACGGAAATCATCAAATCACCAAGCGTGGAATTATGGATGAATGTTGTCATAGCTCTGTGGGCTGTTCCTGGGAAGAGTATGCGGAATACTGTCCTATTCATAAACGTATACGAAACTAACCAGGAAGCTTAAAAATGCGAAACTAACTTACTGCACGAAAATTAAATTAAGTTTAAAAAACAATGATGAAAAAAATTTAACGTGTAAATTATGTAGTATGAAATCAATTTTATATTTGTTTAGAAGTTTCTTGATGACAAAATGTACCAGAACGATAAAATATTTATATTCGTGGGTAATATTTCTGTTCTCATCATTCAATTTCCGGCTCTAACTTTGATTTAATGTATAGGTAAAAATTTCAATGAATAAAGCTTCTTTCACCATATGCTACATTGTTTCCTTAGTTGTCAGGATAATACATTCATTTAATGGTACGTTCTGCTAAACTAGCATAAAATAAAAAATCTAATCATTTATAGGACTTGTTCTTGATTATTTTGCATAATCTCTTTATTTACATGAAAAAATTAAAAATATTTAATGTTTTATACTGTTAGTTGTTATTTCATCAAAATATCATAACATTTTTATGTCTGACTTATTCCCAAACTTACAGTTGATTGATTGGATTAAAACACATTTTTAAAGCGCTAAAACTATTAAAATATGACTTATAAACATTAGTTTTACAATAGTATCAAAGCATAAAAAAAACATTTGTCGTCATGTCTTATTTACTTTAACAATCTATAAAAACAATAGTTTGTTTAAATAATAAGTGTACGTTTATGTAAATTTATTGTGTGGAAAATAGAAGACAGAACTGAAAGAGTGATGATTTTTCTAACCTTACCATAATTACTGTTCGTTAATGTTCATCTCTGTACTTATGGTGATTCATATCTTAAGAATTTATTTAGTGTTAAATTTAGGACTTCGCGTAAGATTTATTAGTTTATATTTGTCCTTATCAGTATTAAATCTAATAAATCAACAAGGAAAATAACTTGTATCAGAAACGGAAAATAACTTCGAGAGTAAGGCCCGAAGTGAATTTATGTATTATTTCTTAACAATGGAGGGCGACGCAAATACTGGGCCCGCCAAAAGAAGCGCAAGGATGTTATACAGTTAGATTTTACAAAGTATTAATGACAAACATTGTTTCCTAATGAAGATTAAGGGTTCAAATTTTAATGATGAACAGGTGGACAATCCAAGAGCCTTCTCTTATTGTTGAACTGTGTTTCAAAAATGAATGCTCCATCATCGCTGTTCAAAGAACATACCGTCGAGAACATGGTGTTAATGTTGATCCTTCTGAACATGTCATCAACGGGAACTGTGTTTTCAACAAGATGGAGCCACCCGTCATACAGCAGAATAACAATGCCAGTGTTACGTGATTTGTTCCTAATAGGGTAACACAAACTGGCCTCCAAGATCCTCGGGTTTGTTAGGAGCAGAATTTTTTTTTGGAGTTACTTAAAGGAAAGGCCCGG